CTGGTTAAACAACAACACTCCCGACCGTTGTGTGGATTTAACAGTACGAGCGGACAGAGACACCAGAGCAAGTGAGAAGAATCAAGGTGGATGACTGGTTCTGCTTGTGAACAATAGATGGTGCAACCCCAGTCATATCACAGTGAAGGAGAAGATCTGCTGTCGGGATATTGAACTGTTGGCAGTTGGTCTTAGACCGTACTATGTACGGAGGGAGTTCTCACTTATTGTCGCCATTGTTGTTTACATTCAACCACGAGCAGAGCCTGCAGTCGCGTGTGGCATCATTCACGAGACTGTTGTGAGAGTACAGTCCCAGCACCCTGATGCATTCATTGCAGAAAAAAGAAAAAAGCAGGCGAAGGAGGACTACAAAAAGTAGAGAGGAAGCTGCAGCACAACAAGACCAGAGAGGTGTGGAACAGCCAGGCAAAATCAGGTGATGTGGACAAGGCCAATGAGTTCAACCTGTTCTAGAACAGATTTGACACAGCCTCACCTGTTATCTCTCCCACTGCTTCAACTGCAGCTTCTCCTACGGCATTGCCTTCACAACCTGAAACTGCAGCTGCAACTCCCTCCACACTGGGATCAAGTCACCTGTCCTTTACAACAGAGGAGGTGAAGGCAGAGCTCAAGAGGCTACGTCCTGGAAAGGCAACAGGCCCGGATAGTGTGTGTCCAAGGCTGTTAAAGGACTGTGCAGCCCAGCTGGCAGAGCCTCTCCAGAGGATCTTTAACTTAAGTTTAAAAAACAGGGAGGGTCCTGGGCCTGTGGAATACATCATGTCTTGTTCCGGTACCTAAAGTAGGGCAACCGGCTGAGATAAATGACTACATACCGGTGGCCCTCACATCACACCCTGGAGAAGCTGCTTCTCAACCTTTTGAGGACACAGATTGAACACGCACTTGACCCCCTACATATCGCCTACAAAGAACATATTGGAGTGGATGATCTCATCCTTTACATGCTTCAGCTGGCCCATTCTTACTTGGACAACACTTTACCACTTTGATGGTTTACTGTTGAAATTTTAGGGGAAATTAGAGCATGTGGACAGAAAGCTTGAGAGATGTAAACACAGTCTTTTAGATTAATCTGTGTCAGCGTGAAACTCGTACTGTGCTTACTCCACTGTGTTGGGATGAGTCTCTGACTGATTATAGAGGAATGTGAATCCAGGTCACCAGGCCAACAGAGATGACAGGATGTCAGAGAGTGACACTGAGCATCAACTGGCGTTTTACCCTATCCATGAAACGGAAGAAGCTCTGCTGTTATGGGTCAACAAATGAGATCGGGAGGTCACCAGGGTTTTTTGGAGTTCTCATACACTTCTCATTCACGATTTCTTATAGAAGCCTCTTTTATCCATGGAAAGTGGAAAATACCTGTGTGTGTGGCTTCTGGATGAGCTTTTTCTGGTCTCATTCAGAGTGAAAGTGGCAGGTCAACAGATCACATTCTGTGGGTATTACACAGATAAAGGACAACTTTACAGCTGCTGTTTGCCCTTTCTCTTCTTATAATGTAAATCTCCACAGTCATTTAAGAGAGATTCATGTCATCTGTCGAAAAGCCACAGAGAGAGTTTAAAACTAAATACACATAGAACGTTTTGAAAGACTCTGACTTTACATAAATACATTATTCATTATTTAAGTTGGATTTATTGGCAGAAATAGAATATAATATCCACAATTATGTTTTAATTAGTGTATAATCACCTGTAACTAAGAATCATTGTGTTGTCATAGAATGAACCCTTCATATCTTCACGTACCTTCAGGCTTCACCTCTGTTCTCAAGTTGAGGGTTTGATACTTTGCTGTTGCGGTTAGAGCTGTGTGCAGTCGCCATGACTGAGCTAGCTGCTGGACATTCAGTAAATCCCTGGGCTGCCTGCTTGTTTAACTGCAGTGGTGTGGAGGATGTGGAGTTGTTCAAAGTCACCTTTGATGAAGCTGACAGCTGAGTAATTAGTAAAGTAATGTAATTACTTTTTCTATAGCCATTATTGCCCCTCTGTAAGGCTGGACTTAGATGCAGTCGGGCTCTGAGCTAAATACTAAAATCAGCATTATAATGTTTACCATTTTCACCTCTCAGTGCAGTATTTTAGCAGTCTAACATTTTCTAATTAGCGCTACAAACTATAGCCAAACTATAGCCAACAATAGCTATTTGGTCATAAAACAAAGTGTAGAGCAGACTAACATGTTGAACTGGTGATGGGATGAAGAGTCAGGTAACTGTAACTGGTAACTGGTAATCCTGCAGGGGCCATGAATATCTGTAAATTTCAAAGCAGTCCATCAACTAGATGTCATGTGTCATGGACCACAGTGGTGGAGCACCTGCTGACATCCTTGTGAAAGACATGAGACAGAAGCTGCCTGTTAGCTGTTAGCTGGTGAACTGGCTGTGGGTTGATTCAGGATGTTTGTTAACTGTTAGGTAAATGGACTGCACTTGTATATTATATAGCTCCTTTCCTGTCTTATCGACCAGTCAAAGCATTTATTCATTCACACACTCATTTCATTTCACACACACTCAGACATACTGGTAGCACAGCCAGGGGCAATCTGAAGTTCAGCATCTTGCTCAAGGATACTTGAACATGCAGACTGGAGCAGTCGGGGTGGATGACCCACTCCACCTCCTGAGTCACAGGCACCCCTACCGCTGTGTCCTGCTGTGATTGGGCCCCATTGATGTTTTAAATGAAGGCGATATAAAAATCTATATATGACCGGAGGGGGAGTTGAGTTGTCCTGAGGCGGAAACCAGTCAAAAGCTGGTCCAACATGAGTTTCTCTGGTCAGGTTAAAAGCTATAACTAGAGCAGACCAATATCTGACTTTAAAATGTGGATCAGCACGTCCAGGACTCTCTGGAGGGAGATACACACAAAAAAAATAAGAGCTGATGAAAATGTTAGTCGTGATTCACCTGCTTTCATTATTTAACTTTTTGCCCACCCAGATTATTTTACATTATTTATATTTTCTCATTGTGAGAACACACATGCAGTGAAATACAAACCAAGTTAATCACAATTAGGTCCCACAGCTTCAAGTGTTGAGTTTAAAAACCAGTGCTGGAACTTGACAAGAGAAATATAAATGACCATTAATACAAGACAAACAACATTAGAACCAACTCTTAGCAATATATTTCTAAAATACAATCACTGATCTTAACACATCAATTTTCAAAATTGTTCACTTGATCAAATAGGTTTACACACAGATGATTGAACACAAAGAAAACAGATGTCACAGGTGTAATCTGCTGTTGGATGACTCAGTTTATACTGATAACTGTAGATTTTCTGTCTGTGTATGTTTGACTTCTGGAACATTTTTAAAGTAGCTGCACTTAGTGGCAGTGCATTTTAATGAAGGATTAGTACAGCAATTATAATAATACTTGAATGCACTACAAGTAAAGATGTTGTGCGTTGACACAAACCTGTGTTTAAGTCTGAGAAATATGTGTCTTTATCAGTTTTCCATAGTGCTGAGGACAATGTGGAAGGACAAACTCTGCATGAAAGACACGCTCAATATAACACACTGAGAAAGTGTATACGTGAGAGATGTGCACAGGAATGTCACTCGCATGCACACACACAAACACACACATACACACACACACACAGATGGAGGCACTTAAGCCGACCCACTCAGTGGAGAAAGTATGTATAGCCAGACGAAACACACCATTACACAGTGATCACAGGGTATCTGCAGCATTAAAGTGCAACCGTTCACACTGCGAGTGTGTCCTTTCCTTTGAAACACCTGCAGACCAGTGACAGCAACACCCCCAACATGTTCGATGTGATCGACTCGGAGGCACACTGTCATCTAACCTGAGGACAGTTTGTGAACCTGCACATTTTCAATGTGTCCCACTTTCTACCTTTAAGACCTCAGTTTCAGTGGGTTTGATTATTATGACTCGTGAAAAGATCAGATTCGGACCACAGAGTATCTCTCCTGCATAGCTGCTGACACACTGCTGGCTAAAGTGCCCGGCACACAGGAGAGCGGCTGAACAGCTGGTTCAGGAGTACTTCAGCTATTTTCTCCAGCACCATCGGTTCTGTTAACTGCTTTCAAATTCGTGCTCCTTTTGTATCACTCTTCAATATTTCCATTAAAGTTAGGTTTGCAGTTAGTTCATTTAAAGACCAGACTAGGGTTAGGATGGGGTTCATAGTTAAGCCAACTGTTTTCTCCCTGAGTGTGTGTGTGTGTGTGTGCATGCGTGCGTGCGTGCGTGCGTGTGTGTGTGTGCGTGCGTGCATGCTTGTGTGTGTGTGTGTTTGTGTGTGTGTGTGTGTGTGTGTTGCTCTGTGATGCGGCAACCTCCAGAGATGAAATGACCACTAGAGTCTGGCTCTAACAGTCAGTCAATCCCAATAGACTCCCATGTTAAAATGTACAACTTTACAGCAGAAATAAACATGTTTACAGCCTGGTACAAAAACAGTTTTTGTCTCCATAGCTAATTTCCTCCTTCATGAGGGATCATTTTGAGGGTTAAAGTTATGTAGAATTGAGGGTGTGGCCTCGTTGAGTGCCAGGTGGATGTATGCTTGCCACAAACCAGAATGTACCGAAGTCTCAGCTCCACACACACTGCACCTCTTTGTCTATTTTTGGATTACCTGGGAGGTGGAACAGCTCAATCCTAGCTTCAAAACCATTCTTCAGAAAGCTGTGGGTGAGGTCACATTCGCTATGTCCATCTTTATTTACAGTCTATGGATGCAATGAAAACTTCTTGTCTTTTCTGACTGACTGATTTACTGACTTATTGTTTGTGTAAGTGGATATGGTTGTGATCAGGAGGAATGGTAAAACAAAATACAAACTCAAACCTGAGATAAGAAACCTCTTAACATACTGTTCCTGTTGTATGGATAAGCACTCATCAGGCTCAAGCTCCACAGCATGTGTAACCTGTACTTTGTGTCTTTCAGGTTTACGAGCAGGATGACCTGTCAGAGCAGATGGCCAGTCTAGAAGGACTGATGAAGCAGCTCAATGCCATTACTGGCTCCGCCTTCTAACCTCTGACCCCGGTCCAGCCCAGCCCTCAGCCACAGTCCAGTCTAGAACCCTTCTTCAAGCCTTGATGTCAGTCGATGTCCATTTGCCACAGGTAGCAACAGGTCAGTCTGGGTTTGAAGACGCCTCTGTGGAACATCCCTCTGTGCTGGGTTGAGTTTGTTTGGTTTTTACTGGTCTTGGCTGGTTTCTACTGTTTGGGATGGGGATTGGACAGAAGGGCATGAAACGGAGGGTAAACACTACCGCAGCACAGCATCAACAAAAAGAACAGGAAAAGGGTTGAGGGGTTTCTTTAGGAGTTTAAACTGAAACCCCTTTAGACCCTTCAACCTCAAACAAAAAACTAGAAAAACCCAATGCCTACCGCCTCAACATAATGAAACAGGAGGAAGGATTATCACAAAAAAAAGAAGACAAAGTTAAGAGCCCTCCTGTTTCTCTTCTTGGTATTTATTAACGTCCTCCGCTGAGTTCTCCACAACTCAGTTACTGTGACTGTACCTCACTTATTTTTCATGATTACTGTTGAAAGTATTCCTTTTTTTCCCTTTTTTTGGGAGGGGGGGGTTCAACTTTGTGCAGTTACAGGATGTGTACCTGGTTTGAAAATGCTACCAGAACCAGTAAGACATAGAAAACATCCTCGGCCACCAAAGTTTCACCAAACTTTCTTTTTCTCTCCTTGGTCTGAGGACACCTGACACAACGTGATCCTATCTTTCCTCAGTATCTCTTTCTTTTCCTCTTGAATGAGACTATGATTTCACTGAACCCACCATCACCCATCATCCATGCAGCCTTACCACCTCTGGATCCTGAGGTTTCAATAAATATAAAAGGATTAAAAATGTGATTTTGGCCAGACAGAAAAACGTGTAACAATCTGCTAAGACTGGTCTGAATCATCTGGATCTGGATCCAACTTACTCTAGTCTTAAAGGACTGTATAGAAAACGCTATAGACTCCCACAGTCTGTCGCTGCTCTTGACCAAGCCTTGACTCTCCCTAACCTAGACAAACTCCGGTCTTTACCTACAAGGATGTGTGACGTTGCCAAATTCTCATCTTGGAAAGCTTATTGTAACTTCCTTTGTTATTGGTCCTTGTTCAAATCTGTCTCAGTCCCAACCATGGACTGGACATCAGTGAACAGCTGATGATTTGTATAGAACAAAAGAAATCTGGATTTGGATGGGTAGAACCCATATCATCCTGTCCAAATGAAGGTTGGTTTTGGATGGTATGCAGTGATTGGTCTTTTTGAGAAACATGTTTGAATTCAGTCTGAGCACCTCGGTCACAGGTCACCATGTTGCACTGTATGTACATCACACAGCGCGTGGTCCCCCCCTGCTGGTTGGAGAACTAGCAAGTACTAAAGTGAGACTGTAACATTTTGGAGACACAAGGTTATGGTAAAAACAATTATGAGCACCGTCGAAACACAATGTTATCTTAGGAAAGAGATAATGACAACATCATCACAAGACAGTTTAATTATCAGTTGACACTGTTATATCTTGATCAAATGAAAGTTAGATAAAGTCTCAGATAAAAAGTTTCAAAAACATCATCTTGTTTTATTGAGAAAACAGTTTGTTATCTTAATATAAAAAGATTCATGACTCTTAACATTCACGGTATATAAAATGCACCTGGCTGGAATCTGTTTAAATGCAATATAACAAACAGCTATGGAAATGTGCCATTACTGTTATTTGTGAAGGAGGTGTTACAGCAACAGAATCAAGTATCATTATTATTATTATTATTATTATTATTAGCATTATTATTATTATAATTATTATTATTATAAATGCTAGTGGGGTGTATTGTTTATTTTTTCACTTGGTGCAGTGTCAGTATGTGTTTGACTGAAGGGCCTCCATATTTATTTTCATGAGATAAACACACCTGTACCTCTATCAACCTTGATCACATGGGAAAATAGCAAAAACCACCAGCTTCACTTCAAGTTGACTTCAGGTGGTTCCATTTTTATACAAAAATAAGAGGGAAGAAAAACAAAACACAAATAATGCATAAGCCACAAAGTATATTTTTACATCCACTGTCAGAACTGTGTTTTCTTTCTTTTTTTAATCAGGCTTTTCCACAGAGAACTATTTCAAATGTCACAAACCACCATGAAAATTTGTACATACAGCCCACAGTAGAACACAGTTAAACACAGGTATCTAGAGAATTCTTTTGTGCCATATTAGTTGTATTAAAAGCAGGCTTTAAAGAGTGGAATGAGGGAATCAAACCAGCAGGGTTTTGGTTTCAGGGTGAGGTCAGTGAGGATGTGGATGTACAGAGCAGCACCTTTCAGTTCTTCAAAACAACTACATTAGTATCACAAGCAAGAAAGAAAAATGTGATGTAGAGAATTAAAGTGAGATTAAATGGGTTGGTAAAGGATCTTTTTTTGTTACTCTTTGTGAAAATTCATTAGTTCAACAAGGCAGATGACCTACCCTCTAAATTGGTGTGTTCTTGAGCTTTTTCCTTGTTCTAAGGAGAATATGTGATTTGATGCAATGCCTGTGCAGAAACAAAGCAAGGACTTAAAATGACAAATGATTCATTGATTAGCTGAAGGAAAAAGAATAACAGGCCTTCAGTATGCTCCATATTTGACTGTGTAACCTCAGTCACTACAGTGCAATTTACATACCTTTATCTTTGTGTGAAGAAAGGAAAAAGCCTGCGGGAGGCAGAGGGCGGAAGTAGAGACGGTGAATTGATCTTCAGAGTTTGTACATGTAAGCGAGGGCACGGAGGACTGAGGCCTGGAATTCATTATAATGCCGTTTCAAATTCAAGCTCACGCTCACTGGGCTATTACAGCGGCGGGAAAAGTCCTAGGGACGGAGGGGATGGAAAGGTAATGTCTCTGCAGAACGAGTGTGGGGATGAAAGGTGGACGAATGCGGGCAGGCGGGCGGTGTGGGGCTCAAACTCATCAGTCTGTTCTGGGATATACATCCAGTCTGAGCCAAGAGCGTTCATTCTGCTCTGACTCGCTCTTCTCCTCCTGTTTCAGAGCAGATGACCCAGCGCTGAAAATCTGATTGTAACAATAAATGCTAAATTAGATGATCTGTTGACACAAGAAATTTCTTCTGTTCAGTGTCACAACGGGGAAGAGAGATGAAAGCAGAGGGGATTATTAAACTTGATTTTGCACATTTTAGCCTGTTTAATATAAATTACATTAAATATCAGTAGTGCTGATCGTTTTCCAAGTCATCCATCAGCTCTTCATTCGATTTCCTTCCTTCCAGGCAGCTATTCATTTAGTTCAATTCTATGTAAATAAAACTGCTGACACTTGAAACTTAACCTGCTTCCAGACATCTGAATCACTCTACACGTTTCTTAGCTTTGTGAGCACGGTTAAGAAAGGAGAAGTCACCTACCTGAGCCAGAGCCACTAAACCAGAGACTAAACCAGAATTTCAAACTACTTCACACTTTCTGCAGCGAGTTAATCCATCACAGTCAAAATGTACATGTATCTATGTGATATCATGTGTCCAGCGGACAGATGAGACTATTTCAGAAACTGTTTCAGATGCTCTGACACCTGAGATGTAAGAGTTACCTGTTGAACCAATGGAGCTGGAAACAGCATCATTTATAACACTGGCCTCCTCCAGCAAAAGAGCTTGTCAGCATTTGGACTACAAATCCAACCAGGTTTCCACATTGTCGTCCACCTGTTTTTATGCACATTTTTAATTGGGAAATGTGAATGCCGATAAAATAAAAAAAGTTCAAATGTTGAATGACATTTCAAAACAAGTTTATGCTCGGCTCAGGTGGAAAAGTTTGTGTATTGATAAAAATAAAATGCAACAAAGTGCAATGGAAATACATTTAGTAATCATATCATAATGTACATGAGTCATGTTTCTGCTCAGCCCAGAGATGACAACAAACAAAAACTTCAGATCTGTGTGGAGCGATGAAGAGACTGTAACCTTCCTTATATTAATGAAATACACAGAACTGTCATATCTCCATCATGTTTTCCACATTGCTTTTTTTTTTTTTAAGATAGGAGCTGTGTTAATTACATCATCGTTGTACCCTTTCCGCTGTTTAATGGTTTAATGGCATCCAACTGGAGAATTAGGGGAACCAATTAGCACCCAGTTCATAACATGTACATAACAGTAGTGGAGGGAAACAGCTTATTTCACATTGATGAGTGTACATGTTGACTGTGATGGACCACACTGTTCCTACTGAGCCCTGAGTCAGGCTGGTTGGGGTTCTGCTGACAGGTTACCCACGCATGCTCTGTATGCGGACTGAAATTAATGTTTGCACATTGGGTTCACATAGGTACTTTTTGAACCAGGTCCAAAATTTTGCATCCACAAAGACCTTTAGTATCAAGTCTCTGCAAATGTGATTTTCATGTGATTTGGCTGCATGGAAGGAAGGAAATCAATCTAAAAACAAGCAGCAGGTCTGGAAAGTTCAAAGGATTTATATGAGGTGAACTAAAACAGGGAACAGCATCAATATGGTCCTTTGATTCTTTTGTTTACATGAGACATTTGATGACAGTGACGATCAGGCTACACTGTCTAAAAACATTTTCAAGCAGTGCAGTCACAGTTAATGGGCTGATTAAATCTGCTCACTCTAAGGATCCTGATGATCTTAGTTGAGGTCTGAGTTTGTAATTGACTGCTCACCTTTCATTAACATTCCCTGCATCAGACATGTTATTCATCAAAATTCATTTACCCATATGAGCTTCTCTTTATTAAGTCATCTTATTTGTAGTCTTTGTGAAATGTTAAAATGTGCTCTGTGTTATGTTAATTTGTTTCTGCTACACAGTCGACACACAGGGAACATATGGAACGTCTGCTCAGCTGAGGGCTTTTTCCAGACTTGAAAGAGAACTGGTTGTGTTACTTCATTGGCACAGATGCAGCGTTCAGCAGCTGTCTGCAAACAGAGACACATAAGATG